ACATTGTCACGGGGGTGCCTGGCTGCCACCCTCTGTTCTGAAATATGAATTATGATTTTATGGGCCGATAGAGACCCGCTAACGTGCAAGGGTAATTAGCTCAGCCTTCCGGGGGATGAACACGGATATTAGGCTTTATTTACCGCGATCTCGACACCACGTTGCGGAGTCGCGGTGATTGCGGGGATAAAGGGGATTAGGTGCGGCAAGTTTGGAGTTTGAAAGAGTAGACAACAGGGTAATGAAGAGGATTGTGATATCGTTTTGATTATTAATAAGGAAAATTTGCAGTTAGAATCAATATTGTTTCTCACTCTATAAAAGTGTTTAAGTGCGGCGTGCGAGCAGGCCACAAGCTTGTCCTATCTCTGGATTCTCCTAAAAACCTACAAGCAACCTAGCAACCATTCTGAACTTTCTAGAGAGTAATGGTTTTCTCTTTGGAGAGTTGTTGAAACTGAAGGTGTGAAGTATTAGGGATTCTGCCATTACGGACAATGCCTTTAACGACGTTCAATAATCTGTATATCACCTCATCATATAAAGAGACATGCCGAGTCGCGAGATTAGAAATAATAAACCTTCAAAATGAGGCAAGTACCGATTGCATTTCTTCTGTTATTACTATTTATTGTAAAAAGTTGTAAAAATGTTCAATATATAGGTAAATATGTCGATGTATTGATGTTCGCCAAAAAATGTACTCTAAAATATTTGCGGAAGCTCAAAGTTACGAACATTGTCTATTATTGGCGGCTTCCCTCAATATTTTTTATATTTTCAGAACATATTAGATGTAACATAATGAGAAGAACATAGTACAAATTGAGAATTGTTCCACACCTAAAAAAAGAAGGTGAAGAGAACCGATATGGCAGACAGTGGGCATCAATATTATACAATAACTATGCATAATCCACTATGACTGATTAATAATAAGCATTTGATATCTTTCCAGAATTGGTTTAACGAGAGTTAGCATATGTGATAAATACTAGCAGTATTGAACGTGGAACTGCGCTGATGTATTCTAGTGGGTAATAATGATTGTTCTATACTTCGACAGGTTTTGAGGTAAATATTGAAATTCCAGCTAGAAGTATCTAGTCATTTTAATTAATTTTCATGGAGTAAAAATCTTTAGATACTTACAGTCTTGCTAAAAAGGTATCCCGAAGTTATCATTATTCACTGCTTGGTATAGAATATTATGGGATCACACTGTAATCATTACTCTATTGGTTTATTGTCATAAGAAATTCAAACTGTGATCGTAGTAATTATTGTTAATTGTTACGCAACGCGGCAGCAGTATTAACTATAAATCATATCGCACCCAGTTTGTATAAACGCCTTTGATGTATTGTGATAAACAGTCCTATAAACCAAGACTTTGCGACCACCTATGTAAACAAAACCGCCTGGTGATCTGGAAAAATAATATATCATTCATTATTTTCGTATTGTCTAATAAATCAATTCTTTTGTAAATATAATTTTAACGTTTCCGTTTCAACTTTGGATTGTTTCATATCACGGATGAATGCAATACTGCCAAAACATTGTTGTTAATATTTATTACCCCACCATAGGCGGAGGTGTCAATACTATTTTCCAAAGACGGCTTCTGCTGGTAGATTGACATCTAGACTGGAAAATTCAAATCGACACTGCTCGCAAAAAGCTGAATGCTGTGATGGTTTTGTCATAAACAGTCTAAAAAATTACGTGTCGTGAAATTTCAATTGGTGTCTACTATGCGTTTATACTCGGCCTTATAATATAATATCGTTGTCACAGGAGAGGACACAACCATCGACAGAGTCTTATCAGACAAAAAGGATCTTTAGAAATATGTTCAATTTATCGTTCAGAACGTCATGTAGGGACTATTTCAAGAGATAGCCACTCTTGTCCGTTCTCTCATTCTATTTGCTAAAACTGCTAACTTATACCCATAAAAAATGTACTCTTCGAAAAGTTGCGGTTTCATGATTATAATACTAGGAACAAAAATTAGGTTTGCTTAACTGTTCATGAAAAGTCGCACGCTGGTATACGAATAGACAATAATAATAATAATAATAATAATAATAATAATAATAATAATAATAATAATAATAATAATAATGGCGTGTCCTTACTTTTGGATTAAAAAAACTCATTTGCTCTTCCATGCAAGCCCCGTAAATTATCCTATAAGGAGAACCTAACAATTACAGATTGATGATAATAGTTATAATTAATACAAACAGCAAAAATAAAACTATTGTAGTCTTTACACATGGGATTTGACTCTATTTTGGAAGCTACTAAGTGAGAGCGAGTTTTTTACTATATCTATATAATATATATTACTTTTTAAACTGTTCAATACTATGGAACGGAACACCATAGAGATTACAAGTACGAGTTTGTCTATACCTAATTTGACATAGATTTAAAGTGGTAGCTTGGTTTTGTGAATATTGTAAGTTAAGCAAGCAAGATGATATCAAAAAGCGCTCATGCATTTAGAACCAGCCTGAGGCTACTTTACCAGAATCGATTAAACAAGTCGGTAACATACTTTAAAAAGCTCTTATCTAACACCTGAAATAATATGAGTATCAGAAGGCACATTAACTTCTTAATCACATGTATGTTTTAATTTTTCAGTACTCACTTTGTCGTTTCTTTAGGTTGACTTCTATTTCGTCTGCATTCTTTAGAAATATTGTATGTCGTACATATGACGTGTTCCTGTTTATACCTACGTACAGCGTTCGGACCTCATAAAGGAATTTGAATTTGAAACAAAAAGTAAAAGCTCGTGGTATTGGGCTTACAAAGGAGTGCGTGTACACGACAAAGGATCATTTTGATACACTCATAACCGCAGCTTATTTGCCAGCTAATATTTACAAATGCTCTATTTGCTTTCCGGTCCCCTTTGATGTCAAGTAGCAACCCTCGCTGTGCATCTAAAATAATACGCTATGTATACAATATGTTGGCACAATCCAAAAAAGGGGTGAGTGGACCAAGACAACCCCAATGTCATTTTGGTATGTCTAAACAAACGTTTGGGATTTGTATTGTGTACAGAATATAATCTGGTGTAGAACCACGAATCATTCGTTTCTATGATACATTGAGGTGCGCTTACGTAAAATTTTTATAACAGTCGCTCCCCCGAGAATCTGGCTGCCTCCTAAAATTTGCATAAATAGCAATGTTTTGTGTACCATTTGGCCACTCCAAGGAAATTTGCTGCTACTCATGCTCACGCAAAAATTTGAGGGTATGATGCAAAAACTCCCTTCTCGATATCTAATTGGCCACCATTCGGGCGTCCATAATATACAAATCCGCGAGCCTTCGGGAAGATGCGCTAGCGGTCGACATCGTAACACACCGGGCTAGCTAGACCCAGTCCTCTTCGCGACAGGTATATTTCCTCTTTTCGTTGCGTTTGATGTGGATATTGAAAGTATTCGCAACATCCTGAGTCTTAGAAAGGGCAAACGTACGGAGCAATCCAAGTATTCAATATGTCCAATAGGTATGTAGAATTAACGGGCCTAGAAGCGTCTAAGTCTACTAGTGTCAACCCCCATCACCTACAACCCCCATCAAAGACTTGGCCCCATCTTCCCCATCTTCTTTGTCCTTACCAGGGAAAATCAAGTGACAGCTATAGGTATAAAAATAATATGTTTAAATAACTAAAATCTTTTAACTATAAAACCAGAGACGCAATCAATCTACTTTAATATAAAATAAGCACTATTCATGGGCAAAAAAAAATGTTGTCCGGCTCTGGATTTTGAAACCGTCCGACTAGACTTTCGTTACTCCTAGATAATTTTTTTAATGTGCAAAATTTCATCAAAATCGGCTAAACAGTATCTGAGATATGTGATCGTGAATATTTGACGTGTTTAAGTAAATCACGCCGTATATCCAAAACCGAAACTTCATTCATTTTCAGGTACGAAAAGGCCTCGGTCGATACTACCTATAATTTCACTATATCCATTTAAACCCGGAAGACCCTGTATACTAAATAACTCCTACGATCAGCATTTAATTCATAACTGAAGCATGCGCTAAATTCCTTTTTTGGCCTAATTAAAACGCTTCCATACTATTTTGGATGTTTGGTACTAAAACCATCCGGAGCAAAATACTGCACTTCCACCATTATCTAACGTTACTTGTAATATTGGTGTATGTTCATATACTTTATAAGCTTTGTGTACATAATTTAGAGATCTATTTTTACACACGTTTAAAGTGAAAGGCATTATTTTAGCAATCCTTTACATCAACAGCAGCTGTCGTTGAGCACTTACAAATCCATGCATTCCATAAATCCGTGAAAAATAAAGAATAAGCAGGAGACCATAATTCATAAAAATCGTGTACACACAGATATTAAAAATGATTTAAATGGTTCTTCAAACAGCATTCATGTTTTTTTCTTAGAACGGCTTATGAAATGTGTTTGTATGAATGTTCAAGCAAGGAATTTAAGTGATTGGTATGTATAGACTCTGTCGCGTAATTTTCTACATAGCATGTTCGTACGACTTAGACGGTTTCAATGTGGCAAAGTTGGAGAAAGTAGTATCTAGATTTGCTGTATTTTTTTCAAGAACGTCTAATTTTGTCAGCACTGAATCACCTAGGTTCGAACGGAACCTAACTTACTTTAATCTAATTTAACTTAACCTACAGAAACACTCTTGGGCCAAAATTTCTGGTGAAAGAGTGGCTTAATTTTTGAAAAATCGATTCGATTTAAGGAGAAGGAGCTAGCGTAATTTTCGAAAATACGGCTTTGCTACCAAAAAAGTTACATGTGACCCTTTTAACCTAGAAAAACTACTCCACGTGGCTACCTTTAGAATGCCAAACTTATTAAGTGAAATTTCTGGCTAAGTCATATACAGCAATTATAATATTGTACAATGGATCCCTCCACAGTTTCTACCTTGTGTGTTTCCGGAAAAAACCTCCGATAAATAAGTGATGACCCAGAACTCTTTCAAAAAGCTGGGTGACAAGATCTTGCATTCTGGCTGGATGTACCTCGATGACAGGCTCTATGAGCACGTTTATATTCTTGATTAAAGAACTGCATTTTCTAAATTGTTGTCCTTCCTGTATCCCCATTAGCTAGAAAAAAAAATTTCTAAACTTTTATTCTTCCTGTATCTCCAACCCATGGTATGGTGGTCTTACGACAATTTCCAAAAGAACTTAGTAGTCTTAAAATATACCAAAGGATCAATCACTCCCTGAATGGTTGGTATTAACATTCACAAAAATGGTGGAGGCATATACAAACATAAAAATAATGGTCTTTATTTATAATGCATATAATGTCAATATGGTCGTGAAGTTTCCTACCATGACAAAGCGTTTTATTTTCGCCTTGTATATATTATTATAATATATATTTATATATATATAAATATATATATATATATATATATATATATATAAATTATATTATTAGTGAATGTCAGCCCAATACTATATAATAAAGCAAAGACAAATGGATTTGGATTTATAGGCTTATTGCTGTAATTTATTCCATAATATTCTTCATAAAATAAGCTACTCCGCCTCTGGTTTCCATTTCATCCCGTTCAGTGCTCACAAACACACTTACAGTCTCTCACACACATACACACAAACAGACACACAGAGAAATTATCTGCCATTCTCTCATCAGCGACGTCATTCTGTGACGCTTGCTTTGCTCTGCTCTCTAAAAAGCGATAATCAGATATTCTGATAACGCTACAAAAGCGTACACAAAGCTACCGAAATAATGCGCTTAGAAGGTGAGCGGGGGTTGGCAGGGCAAATTACGACGGCATCAAGCGTGCTTTGAAGGCGTTCCGCTTGGCGTAGCGCATAGAGGGCGTTGATAGGGCGTCGCCAGCGACACTCTATTGTTTGAGTACACTCAATTAGCGACGTAGTAGTAAGGCGGAACGTCGAATGTGAGTATGATTATAGGTACCGGGGCATTGACGTTGGTTTGGGGATCAGACGCTATAGGCAATATTGTAGCATGTTACTATAACTCGAGATGATAGATTCACTTTCGTACGCAGTTGCGCATGACGTCACTCGGTGACAAATGTTCGGCACGGGTGGTGACATTAACATTAACGCAACACAATCTGATGTATACTTGTGAACTCGTTTTGTAGCTGTACGTGTTGTTTAAACGTCAGCAAACATCGATCATAGCGAGCAAACGTGGGTTAAACTATTTGCACACTAAAAACTACCTCCTCGGTAGGTAACGCAAAACACCTTTTGACAGCATCCGCTCAAGGACCGCCACACGTGGTACGTAATATGAACGGAGGGCGCATTTTGTCCTTTGCCTTGGAGCGGCCAAAACCCTGAAGTCGGACGTGCATTCACCATTAGGAACGACAACAGGTTCTTCCTTTGGAGGCCCTTGAACTAACATCTACTTGAACTACTCTACAAGTAGTGGTTCGAGCGAGCAAACTAATATTTTTGTCGACTTGACTGTTAAAAGATAATGGTATCCCAAATTAATAAGAATGTTTCTCCACATAAGTTAGATTCCTAACTTTGAATGTCCATGTTTTGAAAATCTCAAGTGAACTATTCAGAGTGGCAATAAACAATAAAGTAACCACTATAAAAGACGAAGAAATCTATTTTAAAGGAGCAGACTGATCGGATAAACATTTTGATTTAGCTGACGTGCTCTCAAGGTATAAATACGCATTATTTATAAACTGTTTATATTGACTTACTCGATGATATCGGCTTTATTACAAACAAACACAGACAGGCAGTCGACATTGTTACTTAATTATTAAGCGCAGTACTTGGAAGCCACTTAGTTGGTATGTGAATGATGTTTATTCGATGATCAAAAAGAGCGTAGAAAGATCAATAATACCAACACCAACATACTCCAGAAGATATTGTCAAAGTAGCAAAAATAGTGTGCAATAGGTGCACAAACTAAAAGCTTACTTGGAAAGAACACCGTCACACCACAACTAATCGGCCCACTCGGCACAAAATCCTCAGAAATGTCAAAGCGTTTTGACTTTTCCGGCGGTATGTCAGCAACCATTGGACCAAAATCTATGAGGCATTTTTTCCGTATCGGCAAAACATAAAAACAATAAAAGTTCACAATTTCATCGGAATAAAAATACTTTTTGATGTATACAGAAATATGCGCTATTCTATTCGCACTTCCCGGGGCAATAACAGTTCAGATGTACTTTTTTCGTCAATTGGCATTGAAAATAAAGTGATTGATCATAAAATATAGTTTATATATATTTTTGGACTGCTTTGACCTCTTATAAGCCTCTGTGGCGAACCAAAATATTTCTTCAAAACTCACCCCAATACACTTGTCATCGTATCATATCAGACATATCGAATGCTTTGTGATAGATTTGCAATTCATACGAAGCTTTCCATGTATATATACACACGAGTGACACACGTCAGCACACAGCAGAAACTTCAAAAACAAATGATGAACGATATTACTTGGGGAACAAAGTTAGAATAGACGCAGTGACTGTCATCCGTGAAATTCTTAACGACAGACGACGGCGTTCCCAATAATCCCACAGGCTCCTGTGGGACTGCTTCCCAATGTCGGCATGGATAAGCTTTCACAATATCTTTGGTTGACAGTAAACACGGTTGTTTTCATGGTAATAAGCTAGATTGTATCTGCGATAATCAAAGACCACATATGGCTTTACATTGCTAATACGTTGATCAAGGTTGGTGGTCTGGTTAACTTTCTGAAACTATAATCAAAAGTATGGATATTTTGAAGCTAAAGTAAGCACCTGATATATACATATATAACCGATAGCAGTTTATTGAAATTTGTCTAAAGACGACTTAAATACAACTATCACACCATGTGGGTTGTTGACGAGTTTATAGAAATAATTTTTCCACAGCTCGGTAGACCAAAATGTTCACAACAAAATTGTGATGTCGAATTTTGCAAAAGAAGTATATTTTTGAAGATAAATTATCCTTTAGGGACACACAAAATTTTGCTGAGAAACTTTTGATTCACCGTCAAAGTTGAGAAAAATATAATGTTCTCACATATTAAAAAAAAGCCAGCAACTATTAATAAAACTGGTTCAGAGGAAAGTTGTAGAACTTGAAAACTAGACCATTTATGACCAATTTGCAGAACGGTAAAATTTTAATCCAAGAAATCACCAATTCCCACATTCACTTTTTACCAAAAGGTGCTAAGAAAAAGCGTGCAATAATTGCTAAAATTTAAAGCCCCTTCGTAATAACTAACATCTGAAAAAACTCTCATTTTCTGAAAATCTTATTTCGATCTTTTGTAGATGGAGCACATTGCATATAAAGTCACGCCTTAAAGGTATTTTCACCCTCTACATCTCTTATTACAGTTCATTTTTTTGAACAGGCATGGAAAGTGAGTTTTCCAACTTTGACATTGAGTAAAAAAGTTACCCAGCAATATCGTTTCTATCGTAGGACGGAAGATAACTTCATTTACATTTAGGAATATAATTCGGTTGCTTATAATTCTTTTCTATGACGGGGTCCATTTTTGACTAGTTAGCCTGACCTACAGTAGCACTACGTTGTTTGCTCCTCCTACTCTCCTTAATGTTTCACCTACAAAAAAATGATAATACGTAAGACAGAAAAATAATGTATAAAGCTCAAGTTCAACAAACACAAAACTTGTTGCTTGAAGAACACATATTCTTCTGATCGGTCTTGATCGGAGATCGTGGAATTGAAGTAATATCATTCTTGTTTCTGGAAATAGGATTAGGAAATTTATGTTTTAGAAATACACTGTAACAATAAGGAGATTGCTTTGTTTTGAAGATTACTATTATACTCTTATGTACTCCAAACAAACAAAATAGTGACCATGGCCTCCTTTAATTCAAACAAATTGATTAGTTTTTTGTATTAAGTTCATTACTACTCCAAAACAGAGACTTTATAAAGATTCAAATAAAAATTTTCCTAGAACTAACCAAAGCTGGAAGTTTCCCTTAATTCAAGATCACCTTTTGTGTGTACCAATTGCCTTTTCAACACCTCAATTAATTGATTCTTGTGCACTTTTCTTAGGACTGTTAAAATAACGATCTGATATCCTCCAAAAGTCCAAGTTGACCAAAAGACATTATTTTGCTTCGATTTTTGGATCCCAACTACTGTTGTATCTGAAACCAATTTTTCTTAATGGAAATAGCATGTGCTTCCATTTCAGATACATGAACAATGCATATTCGGCATTCATCATTAAATCTGCATTTAAAACAAAACAACTGTCACCTAAAGAGGAGTCAATTTAACAACAAAATAAGCCATAAGTCATTAATATTTTTATATCGCTAACCAGATAGAAATAAATGTCGATCAAGAACAACCAGAAAATTTGGTTCAAAGGTTCAAAATGTTCAAGGAAACGTCTCATTTAATCAGACATCAAATGTGCTCCAACTTCTTAACTGACGTTAGTTATTTTCTAAAAGCTGTAGTTTATAAATCTTGCCAAGACAAAGACTGCAGAAGTACATTAACAGACCGATTAATGGCCCCAAAGCGGCGTGTTGTAAACTAAGTCAAACAAACAAAGGGAAACACGGGCATTGTGTATCAAGCGTACTCGTGAAAGTCAAGAGTCAACTGTGAAAAGATACGGAACAGGTTTATGCGACGGATATACTTCAAATAAATAAAAAATCTGATGACGTGTTGAAATATCAAAGTCAATAGACGACGGAATATACGGTATTTTTTCTGCTACATGCCTATGTATCCTCTGTTTTTAATTTAAACTCTTACCCCCGCTTTGCTAATGTGAAGACTTGAGGTTACGGTTCTTACGTTATCAATAACCGCTAAGAAACCCAGGTCACATAACACTTTCAAAGTCTGAATAACTCCTGTAATCTAATCACTTGGTTTACAAGTGGGGTTGCCAGGAAAGTTTTGGCGACGTTATCAAAAATTATTATTTTCATACACTTTCATTTGTTCTTTTCACGTTGATGCCTCACATCTTCTGTGCTCGCGCAAGATGGCGGAAAAAGACTAAAAAAGCACCTCATTGAAATATAATTATAAACAGTTGGTTGCTGATTGTAATTTGTTGAGAAGATGATATTCAAGTTTGAGTTGCATGTTATACGAGTTGGCTCCTAAAATGATTAGTGAAGA